ATTCTACGCTTGTTATCTCTTAGTAAATTATCCCTAGCACTTTGGCCTTCCATGCCTTATCCTATCCACTAGCTTATAAGTGCTGGGATACGTTCGATCATCTATTATCTCGGGGACCACATCGTATTCCACATCCCTTTGCCTCCGACTGCTCCATCAAACCCTGCCCTCATAGTCAGCCTTCTCTTATCGACCCCCCGCCTATTCCCACGACTAATTTGTACGAAAAGACGAGCACGTTTTAACTTGTATCCCGCTTCCATATAAATGTACTGGCCTGACGAGAATTTATAGAGGGTATACATATGCTCGCCAAACTAATCTTCTGAAAAAATACCTCGTTTCGGCTTTAAGGCAATATCGGATGTTGCCAGCTTTTCAAAGCAATACGTCAGTGGACTCGTGGGATAGTGGAATTTCTCGAAACAGCATCAAGCTGAATCGCTGACACAGAACTAACCGCCAGATCCGGTTCATTGCTCCAAGGCTTCAACTTAAAATAGTCATCTTGCATAGTCGCATAGAGCTAGCTTGATCTAGCAGTTGATCTAGCATCCTCCAGGAGGACACATATATTTTCACTTGATGCTAGACACATCTTTCACGCACACCAGAAGAAAAACAACCTATAAAATGGTCTTTTTAATGCAAAATTGCGTACAGGCGTGAGGAATATATGATTATTTTTAAGCTTTTGGGTTCGGCGTAGGGGTGGTAAGTTTGCAGTTAAGAATTAGTAATAAAATATGACGCTGACCTTGACTAGATCGATTTATATGTTTGCCACATTTGAGCTTTAAAGTTGTCCACAGGACGACTCGGAAAAGTGTACACTTGCTTTCGATAAATTCTGTCATGTCGCACATTTATGCGGTGCTGAGTTCAAGTCAAACACAAAGTGAGTGATGTTCATCAGTCCCCACCAGTGGAATGTAGGAAAGATGTGGGAATAAGCAAAAATAGTTAGCAGTTATCTAATCAGTTGATGGTAGTAAGTGTAGATCCGGAGGGCTGGCACGATCTTTGCCAGCGGGACGGGAAGAAAATGAAGGATATTCCTAGAAAAAGTAGCACCTACGATTTGGGGTAGGGATCTTGAAAACGCTTAAAATATTCATTTGTTTAGTATTATCCAAGCCCCTGTTTGGGATCCTTATTGTGTCTAAAAATCATATTTGAGGGATAGATAGCAGAAGCTGGGAATAGAAGGCAGCCATTAGGCGTCAGATAATGAGACACACTGCATTACAGTGCAAGCCGAGGTTGCTGAATTGCAATAGCTTCATAGGGTTTTCAGAAAGGTGGCTACCCGTGCAACTTCGTCAGCTGGTTCATGTGCAAACGATACAAGTGACATAAGCGAACAGATCCCAA